AATTTCATCCACCTGGACTTGTCAGGTATTCATCTATGTGTATGAGATGGATTAATGTATGGTCAAAGTTTAAAACCAGAAATCTTACCACGTTGGTGTGCAAAAGCTAGCACCAAGGGATAAGTCAATTGTGAAGTTCCTATTTCTTGTAGAGAAATCCCACTGTGAGGTGGTGAGTCATATTCCTTCTATACAAAGCGATTTTCACATTCTAAAGGACACTGTTAGAGTACTGTCTGTGTCACCATAAATGAAAAGAACATTTATGATGCCATGATTTGGATATAATATACTTCAGGTCTTGACAAACATAAATGCATGTTGACTCGGACCATATTCACAAAGTCAAAGCAGACTATATACTTTCCATCTCTTTTCTCAAATCTGAGAGAAATTGAGCACCAGCTTCATTGTCTGAGATAGGCAGCCCAATTCAGTTCCAGTTTAAGTGAAACATAAAAGAAATCATGGCCATAGCTAGAGATGTATCTTTGTGGGCCACCTGATACAGATATGGAAACTGACCACTATCACTCAGGATAGGATGAGAGGGTCCATAGGTGAGCTGAACGACCTAGGGCACAGGGAGCAGCATGAAGTAACATGCACTCTTAAGAACTTGTAAACACTGCTTGCCAAGTATTCTAGAAAAGCCCCTCACTTGTTACTTCTTTCCTCATCTCTGCTTCAAGCAGAGAAATGCAAAAACCCCATCAAGTCTCTGAATAGTAGCCTTTAACTACACAGTTTGACAAATGTGTGTGGCCATGATCTCCCTCACACTTTTCTTAGCACCTGGAAATGGTAGAAATGGAGACAAGGAGTGTTGTTGCAAACACTCAAAAATACTCACCTGCTGAGATTTTTAGAGGTCTGTGACTAACCCTATTATGACTGATGTTGCCCAATAAGGTCCTGTAAACACCACAGCACACCTGATCTCATCATTACAGAATTAATGGAGAGGTTCTTATTTTGTCAGAAAAAAAAAATGAATGAGACTGTGCAATTGTAACACAGTATTACACCATCTCTACTGGTAATTCAAATACTAGCAACATACTTGGTAAAAGACCAGGGTTCCTGCTGACATCACCAATGCAAAAAGCCAAGGCCAGAGCAAAACAGTAGTTTTCAGTTAGTGCTCTGTAAAAGGCAACCGTGTTTATTTGGGACAGAGATCTACAGATGATCATTTGTGTCAGAACAAGGATGATCTTGTACTGGACAGGATTCCCAACCTCCCTTAATGATTGAAACAAAAGGCCTGTGTTGTGACGTCGGAATGACAGAAGTTGCTGGAAGCTTGAAAGAACTTTAAAAATTCATGAGAGTGAATCTCGCATAAGTAAGATGAGCCCTTTGCAACTTTCTTAGAAAGAGCTGTCTGTCTCTGGTTTTGGGGCACGTGCACAGAACATAAATAGAAAGGTACAGGCTTTGATGAAACAGGAAACATGATCATATTTTCAGTTTGAAATCATTGAGCAATATAAAACATACATGTTTTATTAGTTAAGATTCTGGTAATCTTTATGAAACAACCTGAACTGGATAAGGCATTCGAAGAATGAATGACTGGTGAGTACACAGTAGTCTTTCTGGGTCAATGTTTGGCTCCTGTTCTAATAATTCATTATATTCGGTGGGCAATATACTTAACATATTCCCTCATCTCTATCATCATCATCTTGTTTTTTTTTCTTTCTGGTTTATCTATTGAAGGCACAAAATGTTTTTAACAGCTTCATTTATAATAAATGTAAATAACAGTGTACATTTGGTAAACATATGTATGTGTCTGTGTGTATGGACATGAGAAATACACACATAGGCAATAAAGGGGAATGGATTTCATAGTTTTGAGTAATACCTGGCTTTAGTTACCTCTGGCTTCAAATGCACAGTGATACTCCAGCTCCATTTCATGAACGCAGAGATTAAGAGCATGTATGCCGATATTGTCCAGTTAATGTTGACACAAGTAAGTTCAATGTATTTGTGCCTGGTATATCTGAACAACATAAATATTCTTGGACAGAGAATCTTTTGTCTACATTTCCAGTTATACACGTACAATATTGGCATGCAATAAAGAACTAGGTACATCTGAAAATTGCTGTGAGATTCGTTTGTGACAGTATTACATGTTTGTAAAATAAAATAAAGTGTACAATATATGGAAATATTTATGTGTTTTAATAATATAAATAGTTAACAAGTATTAGGAATAGAACAATATCATTTTGTGAATATGTTTAAGGGAAAATAATAACTCTTATGTCCTCTTACACATTATCATTATGTATCATCTGAACAATAAACATCTAACTCAAACATATGCTTTCATGCTTAATGATGCACTCAGAGTTAAATACAATCTATTTCCCAATTAGATGTCTTACCACTATGATATCTTTATATATAAATATAGATATTTATCTATACATTTTGAAATTAAAAAGATCTTTAAAAATCTTTATTACCATATGGAAAATGTCATTGAAATTTTCAGTAACACTAGATAGGAATTTGAGATTAGAACTTATGAAAGTGAAATGCTAAGTCCTGCACACTAAACATTAAGAAGCATCAATGACTTGAATTCTTAGTGATCTAAAGTGTTATGTTTGAAAACAACAATCAACAATACCAAAACAAAATGTGAATAGTGCCAAAATTGGTAAAAATAAAGAGCTATAATTAGTAAAATTATTGCAAGAGGAATGTAAGAGATAAAGGAGATATAATTGACAGTGAATAAACAGCTTAGACATAAAGAGAAGAGACACACGATTCTTAAATAATTGTAAAGATGATGGGAATATACCCAAGAGATGCCCTATCATATTACAAAAGCATTTGTTCAACTATGTACATAGCAGCACTATTTGTAATAGCCAGTACCTGGAAACAACCTAGGTGCCCCTCAATAGAAGAATGGTTAAAGAAGGTGTGGAACATATACACATTAGAGTTTTACTCAGCAGTAAAAAACAATGATATCTTGAATTTTGCATGCAAATAGATGGAAATAGAAAACGCTTTACTGAGTGAGGTAACCCAGACCCAAAAAGAGGAATATGGTATGTACTCACTCATAAGTGGATTCTAGCCATAATTAAAGGTCTTTGAGCCTATAATTCGTGATCCTAGAGAAGCTAAATAAGAAGGTGAACCTGAAGAAAATCATATAGTTATCCTCCTGGATATTGGAAGTAGACAAGATTGACAGGCAAACTTGGGTGCATAGGGGCGGGGTGGAAGTAAGGGGAGATGGTTAGAGAGAAGGGAGAAGGGGAGGATTGGGGACAGCTTTGGGGAATGGGTTGGGGGGGAGGGAGGAAGGATGGATATGGGATCAGGGAAGTATATATCTCAACTAAGGGAGCCATTTTAGGGTTTGCAAGAGACTTGATTCTAGAGGGGTTCCCTGGTCCAAGGAGAGGTCCCCAGATTGTTCCCTGGGCAGCAGAGGAGAGGGTGCCTGAACTGGCCTTGGCCCATAACCATACTGATGAATATTTTGCATATCACCATAGAACCTTCATCTGGCGATGGATGGAGATAGAGACAGAGACCCACATTGGAGCACTGGACTTAACTCCCTAGGTCCAAATGAGAAGCAGAAGGAGGGAGAACGTGAGCAAGGAAGTCAGGATCAGAGGGAACCTTCATCCGACGATGGATGGAGATAGAGACAGAGACCCACACTGGAGTACTGGACTGAGCCGCCAAAGTCCAAATGAGGAGCAGAAGGAGGGAGAACATGAAAAGGGAAGTCAGGACCGCGAGGGGTGCGTTCACCCACTGATACAAGGGGACTGATCTAATGAGAGCTCACCAAGGCCAGCTGGACTGGGACTGAACGAGCATGTGATCAAATTCTCTGAATGTGACTGACATGGGGGCTGACTGAGAAGCCATTGATAATGGCACTGGGTCCTGTTTCGTCTGCATGTACTGGTTTTTTGGGATCCTAGTCTGTTTGGATGCTCAGCTTCCTAGACCTAGAAGGAGGGGAGAGGAACTTGAACTTCCCACAGGGCAGGAAACCCTGACTGCTCTTAGGACTGGAGAGGGAGGAGGAGAGGGAGTGGAGAGAGTGGGAGGGTCTTGGGAGGAGGGGAGGAAGTGGAAATTTTTATAAATAAATAAATAATCAAGTAAATAAATATAAATAAATAAATAAACTAATCGTAAAGATGAGCTAGTGGGTAACTGTTCTCAAGTGTTGCCAAATATCACACGCCACAGCTGTAATGAAGGCAAGTGGCAAGAAGCAATTACCACCATTAGTGACAACTCGCCTTTCAAAGAATGCAAACATATCATTTGCTTTTCATGTATTCTTTCTTTACTCTAAAGAGACAGTGAAGAACTACTGTGGAGATAAAGACCAGCAGTTGTACATATATATAAAGTATGGAGAAACAGAATCACATAAGAACTTCACAGTGGGCAGGTCTTCTACTTTCATCTTTCATGCAGCTTTAGAAGGCACAGTGTGACCACATGCAGAGCATCTCAGAAAGTAACTGAATAGCGATGTAAAATCTCTCTGGAGCTAGAAGTGCCACACATATTAGTTGCCCTGAACATACATATGAGGCTGCATGGTGATTAAAGGGTCATCACAGACTCTAATCAATAACAATTTAGTTGCACCCATTTAGTCTGATATTCATTGACTAGTATGAGGTTTCTTTCAGTAAGACATCACTGACTACTCTGTTGTGGAAACAGTCAAAAGGAGGGATATATATTATGGACCAAGTTATTGAATCCCCATTTCACTCAGCTTCCAGCCTTATAAGTAGGAGGGTAACAGGGAGAATAACAGAACACTCCCTGGACAAATTAATAGTACAAAAATAGTATTGGGTCTCTAAAAGAATTTGGGGTTGTTTCTTGGTATGCAGCATTGCTCTGATTCTCATCCTCTGTGCCCCTATGAAATATACATGATGAAATTTACATAGAAATTTCAAGGAACTTACGGTATATGCAGAAGCTTGTTGAAATAATCTTTCTCCTCAGGAAACTGAAATGTTCCAAAGAAAAAGACACAACCTTTCACCATGTCTTCATCCCTGTCTTTATTCTGATTCATTCTCCAAAAGCACCGGGGATGAGTGAACCTGAACACAAGAAGTGAAATGTTCAGGAGAAAGATGAGGAAAATCAAAGTGAACATCTTTTTCCTACTCAGAGCCTTGGCAGTGTGTGCTGTGAAGTGTTGTTCAGATCAGCACATCATATGGGCAACCGTATATTCCCACCTGCTTTTATATCTGCAGCCAAAGGAGAGGCTATTTGTGAATTCATGATTCCTTTATTTCCCAGTTGATTCCTCGCCTCTGGAGGAATCTAGGATACTTTCTTCCCCTATGGCTGTGCACCTGTTATGCATGTGATCAAATCTGGTTGAGAAATATATATGAGGATAATTCAGGTAGTTTCATAACATCATTTAATTTTGTGGAAATTAAGGCTCCTTAGAGAATGCCGTTTGGAGAAAATTTGGTCCCAGGACTGCCAGAACAATCTTTTAATGTTGATGCCTGTGGAAATGATGTCAGTGGATTTTTGTTAGATAATTCACACTGAGACATGCAGCAATATTTCAGAAAGGACACACAAAGTCAAAACTCCTAGCTGCACACTGGAAATTCTTTCACAATGCCCTTGTCAGGGAAAAACAGGTCCATTGATAGAAAAATTGAGTTCCACACAGCTTGCACAGTGGGACCTATACTGTACAACTGACAGTAACAGAATATCTAACCAAATCTTGTGCTTCCATAGTCTTGAGAACCAATAATCAGCCCTAAATGAAAGTTGCACTGAATCCTACTGTTCTACGACAATCCAAATAATCACAGAATCAGTTAATTTTACAGCATTTCAAAAATGTTGTTTTTGAATATTCAACAAGATCCCTATAGATCATGTGTCCAACATATCAAATACTAAATAATATCTCTCATTCCTCCCAACCAATCATTATAGAAGAGAAGATAAGGCAAGTACTTGATTTCTAAAACATGATCGCCCTCCATGAGCCTCAGTTCTCACAAATCACTTGTTTGTTTTCACCAAATTGTTCTGCTTATACGTTATTGCCTATAGTGTTTTGCTCATTTTAGTTTCTGGTAATGGCCATGAAGAAGTCTTGTTGAGAATCTACCAAGCAAATAGAAACTGTGAAATGACCCTGGATTCAATGTATAAATTCTTCTTATACAATTTTCCAATTCACCTCTTTTTTTGCTTACTTTTTAGACCCTGAATTGCCAGTGTGAGGACGTTTTGATGAGAGTGAACAGATGAGCCTCTTTCGGTGGGTATGGACTGCAAGAAAAGCAGAACAAAAGTAGGCAAGTCATGCTGTGCTTGCTTATAAGACTTACTTAGCATTTGATATGAGGCAAACAGGACTAGTGTTCTCATCTGGAGCTTACTGTACTTTCAAAGATCAACACATGAAAGGGTATGCCCTCTGGTTCTGTGATGAGCTGTCCTGGGGGGCTAAGATATGGACAGAGACGTGTATGGCAGGAAGATACTTTCATAGGACCACAGAACAAATTCAACTTATTTATGTATTTATTTATTTTACATCCCAACTACAGTATCATTCCCTTTCTCTTTTCTCAGTCCTCCCGGCCGCTCATCTGCCTCTAACCTCAAACTCCTCCTTCTCTGTTTCTGTTCAGAAAATATCAGCACTCCTATGGATATCAACATGACACGGCATTTCAATTTGTAGTAAGACTAATCACCTTGCCTTGTTTTAAGGATGGTCAAGGAGACTGAATAAGAGGAGTATAGTCCCAAAAGCCAGCAAAGGAGTGTAGAGATAGTCCCTTTCTCAGAAATTTGAAAACTGATCTACCTCAAGATCCAGAAAAATCATCTTTCAAGAGTGCAAATGAAATCTGCAGTAGTAAAGATTTGGTATGGTATCCAGTTTTGTTTTATGTTTAATAATTATTATTATTATTTTAATTAATATATATCATACAAGATTCCATTATGTCACACTCACATATGTGTTGCATGACCTGTCTCAGTATTTGCCCCTCTGTCACCCACATATGTTGTTCAACTTACTACCAATTCTATTCCTCAATTTGAACAAATTCCTTCTCACTTTATAATGTGTGAATATGTGTTTGTTCAATTTATGAGACAAGTACAATATTTTCTTCATACTGGCTTCACAGGGTACCCCAACCAAATTCCTTCAGGCATTCAAATCTCAAATAATACCTATCCTACTTTATGTTAAAATGTATGTATATATGTATACACATACACACACAAGCACACACACTGTTACATTTTGAATTTGTGAAAAATATGCATTTCTAGAGTCTGTCTGTTCAGGTAACATGATGGATGACCCATCTCCTGTTAATGACATCATTTAATTCTTCTAGTTTGAGAAGAAACCCATTATGAGCAAATAAATCCTGTGAGACTTTAATTCTAATTACGATATGAATAAGAGAAGTCTAAATCCAGTAATCTTGTACTGGCTTTTGGGAATCCATTCTCTTTAAATGGATACCTTTCTCAGCCTAGATATAATAGATAGCATAGGGAGGGCCTTGGACCTTGCCCAAAGCAGTGTGCCTTACCCTTTCTAAGGAGTAGATGGGGGTGTGGTTGCATAGAGGATGGAGGGGATGGGAGTAGGGGAGGGAATGGAAACTGAGATTAGTATATAAAATGAAAAATGATAGTTTGTTTTCTTATTTTAAAAGAATACAATAAAATGAATTTTTAAAAAAATAAAATGATGAATAAGTATCTGTATAGTAAGATGTAGAATAATTTGGGTATGTGTCCAAGAGTAGTATAGCTGAATCTTGAAGAAGATACATTCACAACTTCATGAGGAATTGCCACACTGGTTTCCACAAGGCTGTACATGTTTTTACTCTCATAAGCAACCAATAAGTGTTGTTCTCTCCCCACATCTGTACCAGCATGCACTGTCATTTGTATTATTGAACCTGGCCATTCTGACTGGGGCAAAAGGAAATATCAAAGTAGAAGGCATAAGTCACAAACAATCCCACACCAGTTTGGAATTATGATTAATAGAATGGTTATTTATTTAAACGGAAAAAACTTACAGATCACAGTCCCAGAAAACAGCCCTCTGCCCAATCAGGAAAGGAGTCTAGTAGCCGGAAGCAGAGCCAGAAGCAAGAGGGGGAGTGGAGGGCTGTTGCTGCTATTTTAAAGAGATAGAGTGTTTTTTATATTAGTGGCATAGATATTCAGGATAGAGACTTCCTCCTGATGAATTGTTCCTGTTATGAGTATAAAGTGTTCATCTCTGTCTCTTCTGACTGATTTTAGTTTGAAATCAATTTTGTTAGATATTAGTATAGCCACACCCACTTGTTTCTTTGGTCCATTTGATTGGAAAACCTTTTCCCAACCCTTTACTCTGAGGTAGTGTCAGTCATTGAGTATGAGGTGTGTTTCTTGTAGGCAGCAGAATGTTGGATCCTGATTTTGTATCCATTCTCTTAACCTGTGCTTTTTTATAGGTGAATTGAGTCCATTGATATTAAGCAATATTAATGACCAGTGGTTGTTAACTCCGGTTATTTTTCTGGTGGTAGAGTTTGTGTTTCCCTTCCTTGAGCTGTGCTGGTGCAGGGTTGTCAGATGCTTCTGTTATTATGAGTGTTGTTGGCTTCCTTGGTTTGTGATTTTCCTTCTAGTATTTTCTGTAAGGCTAGGTTTGTGACAACGTATTGTTTAAATTTGTTTTTGTTCTGGAATATCTCGTTTTCTCCATCGATGGTAAATGCAAGCTTTGCTGGGTATAGTAGTCTAAGCTTGCATCCACGGTCTCTTAGTTTCTGCAGCACATCTATCCAGGACCTTCTGGTTTTCATGGTTTCCATTGAGAACTCAGGTGTAATTCTGATAGGTTTCCCTTGCAGCTCTTAATATTTGTTCTTTATTCTGTACGTTTTGTGTTTTGATTATTATATGCCGAGGGGATTGATTTTGATCCAGTCTATTTTACCGCTGAGTAAAACTCTAAAGTGTATATGTTCTACACCTTCTGTAACCATTCTTCTATTGAGGGCACTAGGTTGTTTCCAGGTTCTGGCTATTACAAATAATGCTGCTATGAACATAGTTGAACAAATGCTTTTGTAATATGATAGGGCATCTCTTGGGTATATTCCCAAGAGTGGAATTGCTGGGTCCTGAGGTAGGTTGACTCCCAGTTTCCTGAGAAACCGACACACTGATTTTCAAAGTGGCTCCAAAGTTTGCATTCCCACCAACAATGGATGATTGTTCCCCTTAATCCGCATCCTCTCCAGCATAGGCTATCATTGGAGTTTTTGAGTTTAGCTATTCTGACAGGTGTAAGATGGTATCTCAAAGTTGTTTTGATCTGCATTTCCCTGATCGCTAAGGAGGTTGAGCATGACCTTAAGTGTCTTTTGGTCATTTGAACTTCTTCTGTTGTGAATTCTCTGTTCAGTTCAATACCCCACTTTTTAATTGAGTTAGTTAGCATTTTAAAGTCTAGTTTCTTGAGTTCTTTATATATTTTGGAGATCAGACTTTTGTCTGATGAGGGGTTGGTGAAGATCTCCCAATCAGTAGGTTGTCTTTTTGTCTTAGTGACAGTGGCCTTTGCTTTACAGAAGCTTCTCAGCTTCAGGAGGTCCCATTTATTCATTGATTCTCTTATTGTCTGTGCTACTGGGGTTCTACCTAGGAAGTGTTCTACTGTGCCCATGTCTTGTAGACTACTTCCCACTTTCTCTTCTATCATGTTCAGTGTGGAAAGATTAATATTGAGGTCTTTAATCCATTTGGACTAGAGTTTTGTGCATGGTGATAGATATGGATGTATTTTCATTCTTCTACAGGTTGACATCCAGTTATGCCAGCACCATTTGTTAGAGATGCTTTCTTTCTTCCATTGTATAATTTTAGTTCCTTTGTCAAAAATCAGGTGTTCATAGGTTTGTGGATTAAGATCTGGGTCTTCATTTCGATTCCATTGGTCAACAACTCCGTGTTTGTGCCAATACCAAGCTGTTTTCATTACTGTAGCTCTATAACGGCGTTTGAAGTCAGGGATGGTAATGCCTCTGGAAGTACTTTTATTGTATAGGATTATTTTGGCTATCCTGGGTTCTTTGTTTTTCCATATAAAGTTGATTATTGTTCTCTCAAGATCTGTGAAGAATTTCGCTGGGATTTTGATGGGGATTGCATTGAATCTATAGATTGCTTTTGGTAGAATTGCCATTTTTACTATGTTGATCCTCCCAATTCAAGATCATGGGAGATCCTTCCATTTCCTGGTATCCTCTTCAATTTCTTTCTTCAAAACCTTAAATTTCTTGTCACATAGATCTTTCACTTCCTTGGTTAGAGTTACCCAAAAATACTTGATGCTGTTTGTGACTATCGTGAAAGGCGATGTTTCTCTGATTTCTCTCTCTGCTTCTTTGTCCTTTGTGTATAGGAGGGCAACTGATTTTTTGGAGTTGATCTTGTATCCTGCCACATTATTAATGATGCTTATCAGCTGTAGGAGTTCTTTGGTAGAGGTTTGGGGTCACTTATGTACACTATCATATCATCTGCAAATAATGAATGTTTGACTTCTTTCTTTCCAATTCGAATCCCCTTGATCTCCTTATGTTGTCTTATTGCTATTGCTAGAACTTCAAGAACTATGTTGAAGAGATATGGTGAGAGTGGATAGCCTTGCTTTGTTCCTGATTTTAGTGGAATGGCTTTAATTTTCTCTCCATTTAATTTGATATTATCTGTTGACTTGCTATATATTGCTTTTATTATATTTAGGTATGATCCTTTTATCCCTAACCTCTCCAAAACCTTTATCATAAAGGGGTGTTGAATTTTGTCAAATGCTTTTTCCCCATCTTATAAAATGATCATATTTTTTTCCTTCAGTTTATGTATATGATGATTATGTACATTGATAGATTTTTGTTTGTTGAACTAGCCCTGCATCTCTGGGATGGAGCCTACTTGATTGTAATGGATAATTTTTTAATGTGTTCTTGGATTCTGTTTGCCAGAATTTTATTAAGAATTTTTGCATCAATGTTCATGAATGAGACTGATCTGTAATTCTCTTTCTTGGTTGTGTCTTTGTGTTTTTGGAATCAGGGTGACTGTAGCTTCATAAAAAGAGTCATAAAAATGACTTCTGATTCTAGTGTGTGAAACACATTAAGGAGTATAGGTATTAGCTCTTCTTGGAAGTTCTGATAAAATTCTGCATTAAAACCATCAGGTCCTGGGCTCTTTTTGGTTGGGAGGTTTTTTATGACAGCTTCTACTTCCTTACGTCTTATAGGTCTATTTAAATTGTTCACCTGGTCTTGATTTAATTTTGGTAAATGGTACTTATCTAAAAACAAGTCCATTTCTTTTACATTTTCCATCTTTGTGGCATATAAGCTTTTGTAGCAAGACCTAATGATTCTCTGAATTTCCTCAGTGTCTGTTGTTATGTCCCCCTTTTCACTTCTGATCTTGTTAATTTGCATGTTCTCTCTCTGCCTTTTGATTAGTTTGGATAAAGGTTTGTCAATCTTGTTGACTTTCTCAAAAAAACAGCTCTTTGTTTCATTGATTCTTTGGATTGTTTTCCGTGTTTCTATATTGTTGATTTCAGCCCTCAGTTTGATTATTTCCAGTCATCTACTCCTCCTGGGTGAGTCTGCTTCTTTTTTTTCTAGAGTTTTCAGCTGTGCTGTTAAGCCTCTAATGTAAGTTTTCTCTGTTAAGAGCACTGGCTGCTCTTTCAGAGGTCCTGAGTTCAATTCCCACATAGTCGCTCACAACCATCTATGAGATCTGGCAGGCAGGCATATATGTAGGCAGAACATTTTATACATAATAAATAAATAAATTTTAAAAATTCTGCTTCAAAACATTTTTAAAAATTAACTGAGCTAGGAATATAGGTCAGACATTTGTCTTAAACTCAGAAAGTTCTAGCATCAATGCCCAGTATTGGGAAGGAAAAGTTGACAAATGTTTTCTATTGCTGAGGAGAGACACCATGACCAAGGTAACACATAGAAAAAAACATTTAAGTAGGGTCTTACTTACAGTTTCAGAGAATTGATGCATCATCATCATGGCAGGGAACATGATGTCAAGCAAGCAGGCATGGTGCTGGTAATAGTTGAAAGCTGTGTAATATCCTGATCTACAGAGAGCAGCCAGAGTCTAAGGCTGAGACTGGCATGGGCTTTTGAAACCTCAAAGCCAACCCCTGAAGACACACCTCCTCCAACAAGGGCACACTGTCTAGTACTTCCCTAACTATTCTACTCCCTGACATCTAAGCATGCAAATATTCTGAGTTGGTGTTGTCACTGTCATTCAGTCACCACACTGGTAATTTCAGAGCCCCAGAAGTAGAGGGGGAAGAGCAAGAGTTCAAGTTAGCCAAGCAGTGGTGGCAAGTGAGTTCCAGGACTGCAAAGGACTACACAGAGAAAACCTTTCTGATGGGTGGGGCAGTTCAAAATAACTCAGGAGGCAGAAGCAGGTAGATCTCTGACGGATCTTTGAATTTGAGACCAGTCTAATATACATAGTGAGCTGCAGGACATTGACAGCCAGGCAGAGAGACTGTAATCTAGGCTATGTAGAAACCTTGGACCAAAAAAAAAAAAAAGACAAAATCCTGTGGTTTTAGAGCACGCCTTTAATCCCAGAGCTGGGGAGGCAGAGGCAAGTGGATCTCTGTGAGTTAGAGGCAAGCCTGGTCTACAGAGCAGGTTCCATGACAGCCAAGACTATTATATAGAGAAACCCTGTCTCAGAATTTTTTTTAAAAAAAGGCAAAAATGTATGTAGTATTGTTCTGGAGAGGTGACTCAGCAGTTCAGAGCACTGGCTGCTTTTCCAACAAAGATCCTGAGTTCAGTTCCCAGCAGCAACATGATGGCTCACAACCATATGTAATAAGATCTGGTTCCCTCTTCTGGCCTGCAGGCAGAACACTATATAATAAATAAATATATCTTTAAAAAGTATGTAGTATTAAACAGTGTTTTGAAATTTGTATAGATTTTGGAGTGATTAAATCAAGTTGACCTACAATCCATCCCTCCCCTTACTCATGTTCGTATTTGTGAGGACAATAAACTCTTCACTCAGCAGTTTTCAAGTAGGCTAGACTCAGCTTTTCATGAACATCTCCAATGTCTATAATAGATTTCCAAATGAATTCCTCCTCTCTAACTGAAGCTGCGCAGGTCCTCCCCACTCTCCCAGGCCCCGGTGACCACAGTCTACTCCCAGTCATCTTAACTTCATTACAGTCCACCTGCTATTGCTAGAAGGCAAAATTTGCATTTATGAGACTTATTTCCTATTTTAATTTTCTTGCTATTTTTAGGGTTTTTTATGTGTATGGATGTTTGCCTCCTGTATGTCTTGTGCATCTTGTTTGTCCTTGATGCCCATGGAGGAGACCAGAAGAGGGTGTTGGATCTCCTGGAACTAGAATTACAAGAAGGTTTGTTTGGTTGTTGTTGTTGTTGTTTGTTTGTTTTGTTTCTTTTTATTTAATTGTGGGGATGGGATAATATGTTTGCATGAGTACAGGTTCCTGCAAAATCCAGAAGAGAGCGTCAGCTTTACTTCCCACCCCGACCCCCACCTCTCCACTGCATTTCCAGGAGATTCTAAGCAGAATGGGTGCTGACAATGGACCTCTGGCTGCTCTACAAGAGCCATGGGCACTTTTTGATTTTTATGAGTGTGAGTGTTTGGTCAGATTGTATGTATTTGCACCAATTGCATGTCTGGTGCCTGAGGAGGTCAGAAGTCATTGCTGGATCCCCTTGAACTAGAGTTGTGGATGGTTGTGAGCTGCTGTGTAGGTGCTAGGAATTGAAATTATATTTAACCTTTAGTCCTAGTACTTGGAGGGCAGAGGTAGGTGGATCCCTGTCAGGCCAGCATGGTCTACACACTGAATTCCAGACCAGTCAGCACAACATAGTCAGACTTTATCTTTAAGAAAAGGAAAAAAAGAAAGATCTGTGCATGTTAAAATATACATAAAGAATAAGGCCTCTAAATTGTTTCTTTTTCAGTAAATACTAATTATACATAATAATGATTTTGCTGATGTTTTCCTACCTATATATAATGTATTTTGGTCATATTCACTGTGATGAATAGTTGTATGTTAACTTGACACAAGCTAATGTCATCTGAGAGGAGAGAGCCTTGATTAAGAAAATGCCTCTAAACCAGGCTGTGGTGGTGCATTCCTTTAATCCCAGCACTCTGGGAAGCTAAAGGTATATGGAACTCTGTGAATTTGAATCTGTTCTTGGAAGTTCCAGTACTACCAAGGCTACAAAGATAAACCCTGTCTCAAAAAAAAAAAAAATCAGATGATGATGCCTCTAACCTGGCAGTGGTGGCACACGCCTTTAATCCCAGTACTCTGGAGACAGAAGCAAGCAAAACTCTGTGCAAGATCCAAAACAGTCAAGACTAGATTCTCCCCCAACCCCAATCTCTAATGCCAGTCCTGTCTTCTTTATGGAGCAGTCAGGGAACACGCACGGTGGGCTCGGTATACTTCAGCAATGGTGCAGACCGCGTTTCTGTTCCACTCCACATTCAAGGTAGAAATACTGCAAGTGTTCGCACAGAAGACTGCAGAAACCTGGACAGCACCTCGCTGTTGCAGTCCCTCACTGCGGGGCATACAGCCCTGTGGCCCCTGTGCAGTTTCCTGCCGCGTTGTCAAGGCAACAGCTGGCCGTATCAGCGCCCAGCAAAATGTCAATGACGCCTCACATGTGTGCGTCACTCTTGGAGGCGGGCAGTCACCTCAGGACCCCTACACAGGAAACTATGCCACTTACCTCAGCCCAGTCAGTACAGCGCACATGTGCATGGAGTTCCAATTGGCATAAGCACAGGATACGGGAGCACATACTTGGATACAAGTGTGAGTTTATATGCAAACGCATTCGCGCACATGCAAGCACACCACAGGCACACGCTTGCACACACCCACATATGTATATATACCGAGGCGCGTGGCACGCTCGCACTGCCGGACATATGTATGGTAATGTTATCATTGCTGTGATGAAACACCAAGACCGAAGCAACTTGGGGAGTATAGGGTTTCTTTATCTTACACTTCCATATTACTACTCATCCTAGAATGAAGTCAGGACAGGAACACAAAAGGGGCAGAAACCTGGAGGCTTGGAAGAGCTGGTTCAGAGGCCATAGAAGGGTGGTGCTTACTGGCATACTCAACAGGGTTTACTCAGCATTCTCTTTTAGGAGCCCAGAGATGGCACCACCCGCAATGGTCTGGCTCCTCCCCCATCAATCATTATTTTAAAAAAAAAATGCTCTACAGTCTTGCCTATAGTCCTAATCTAGGGATAGGAATTTTGTTTTGTTTTGTTTTTCCTTTTTCTTTCTTTCTTGGAGACAGGGTTTCTTTGTGTCTTCCCTAAGTAGGACTTTGAGGCATCTTAAAAGAAAGGTGAGTTTCTCTTTTTGATTAGAGAATGTTGCCTTATAATTGGTCAGTTGAGGTGCTGATACCCATACTTTAAAAGAAAAATGGTGATAATTTTTCTTTATTTTAAAGATGATGCAGATATCATAGAAACGAATAGGTGAGATCAAAGGTGCTAACATCACTACACCAGGTACAAAGTATGCAGTCTTGTGACCCACCCACATTGTATCCATTTGGGGCAGTATACAATGACCTGCTTTAGTGTATCACTTAAACAATAATATAATATCAATTAAAAACTATTTGAGATGAAGAGAATTTTTGACCTGTAACTGGTTCCTCCTACTTTTTTGTGTGTGTCCTTTTGAAACTTGAGTCATTATAAGAATAGAAGGTGTTAACATACTTATAACCCCAAGCATTAAATAATCAGTAAATACTAACTGGTTATCACATGAATAATGGTAAGCTTCAGATGATCAAGAACAATAACCATAAGCACAGCAGCACAGGACTGTAAGCTCATCACAAAGGCTCCTGGCCTCCACAGTGAAATTCTATTTCAAAAAATAAAAATAAATTCTGTGTGATGTTGTAGATCTATGATCCCAGCAGTTGGGAAGTAGAGGCAGGAGAATCAAGAGTTCAAAGCCAGCCTGGGAGAACTGTCTCTTTAAAAAAAAAAGAAGAAGAAAAAAAGAAAGAAAGGAAGGAAGGAAGGAAGGAAGGAAGGAAGGAAAGAAGGATGAGCTCAATCTCCCACATTTAAACACATGTGTGTTTTGTTTCTAGAGCAGTGCAGACTCCTAAATACTTGTGTCAATTCACAAACTCCAAAGCTTAGTTAGCGAATGGGAATCCAGAGCTAGGGATGTGGGTCCATCACAAAGAACCCTGGATGCAGCCTCTTAGTTGATTTTTTTGCACAGAATTTCTCTGACCCCTGGCTGTTCATGGAGAGGATGCATTTCTTCACGGAATATAGTTATATAAGTGTTTCATGATGAAAACCAGCCTTTGAATACCTGACATTAATGCCATTTATTTAAACAGTTTAAAGAACACAAACTTAAGCATCAAGAAGGAAAGCTGAGCTTGCTCGCACATGCCTATAGTCTAGGGAGCAAGGTCCAGGACAGCCAAGGCTACAGAGAAATCCTGTCTCTAAATAAACAAATAAGTAGCCAGGTGGTGGTAGCACATACCTTTAATCCCAGCTACTGGAAGACAGAGACAGGTGGATCTCTGTGAGTTTAAGCCCAGCCTGGTCTACAGAGTGAGTTCCAGGACAGCCAGGTCTATTACACAAAGAAACCCTGTATCAAAAAACCATAATTAATTAATTAAGCAGACAAACAATGAATGGGGTTGGAGATGTGGCTCAGTGATGGGGTACTTACCTAGCATATGCAAGAAACTCAATTTGAGGTCCAGAGCAAAGAAAAAATAATAATAAAGAGATGTGTAAAATTCTTGATCTTTAATAGTAACAGATAAGATATTAATCACTTACATATTGCTGCATGCTTTAGATAGATTATCTTAAATTTGGGACAGCCACATCTCATAATCTTTCTATTTCGATTTTAGGAAAAAGGAAACAAACACTATGAGGTTAGGAACTATCACTCAAGATCTGACATTCAGCCGGCAGGGGTTCAAGCACATTAGCATGAATGACTAACAGCCTACATGCTTGATCCCAGTCTCCAGGTCCGTTGTGGCTGTGTGATCAAGCCCTTCACCAAGTTGGTGTTTACAGACTTCTCAGCCCCCGCTTATAGCCAGGCAAAGCATTCCTGTCAGGTAGGAGGGAGGCTGTCTCTTGAAATCTGGGGGTAGACGGCCAGATGTTTGGAGACAAAGCCAAATTCTTTACAGTATCCCAGATTTCTCCCAGACATACTCCAGGCAGAGAACTGTTAGAATCTCTCTTTGAGACACCCCTCTCCCAAAAAAAGTAAAATGCCTTTTTCTCAAGTTCTTGATTTTTATCCAGAATCTTCTTAATCTCTCTCAGATGTGCCTCACTGTGTTTGTGTATAGACTGGGATGTGACAATAAAAGCTATAAGTCATTTGAGGACCCAGCTGCCATTGGTTTTAATTTTCCACTTTTTCCTGTAGCTCTCACCTCTCACACTTGGCGTTTATTGTGGAAGAAACCTCAAAACGACAGATAAAGCTTTGAGTTCTGGGACCATAGACCGTGTAAGTGTATATTTCCTTCCTTCTCAAAAGGTATTAGTCAGGGGTGGGAGCCTTGCTATGAATTACCTAGAGCTAGGCAAGTCTTACCTACTTAGCTATTTCCCAATTTTCCCTATGCCAGGGAAGGATAGTCCTATATGAGGTGTTCACTCAATCACTGAATTATTATTGAGAGTCTCCTGTGTGCTCAGTTTCTTTTTGGTTCAGAGTAACATGACATGACAATGAAGGAACAAAATCCCATGTGTAAAATATTGTCATTTCTGTGGCCTGATGAGTTGGACATACTGGTCCCACTGGACCATCAGAGAAAGCATTGTTCATCTCTGTGGACTGGTCTCATGTTCTGGGTAGGTAAGAAGGAAAATGTCCAGTGATCTTCATCCTCATATATGCTGACATACAAGCTTTGTGAGGCTTATCAATCTGACACTGTACTGAATAGGGTGCTTGCCATGAAAACCAGAAGATACATTTTGGTTTTGGTCTGTCAGACTGCCGTATGATGCTTAGTCGTTTGGTACCAGTGTCCTCTGCACCAGGAACAGGAGAAAGGAAGAACTGACAGTTGTGTCAGTCAGCCAAGTATATGACGCCAATAGGCTTAAGTCTCCCTAGCCTGTCTATGAGATGAGATGTTTTCATACTTCAGTCATTACAAAGGGAGACTGCTCAGTGACTTGAGCATTCAGAACACTCGAATATGCAAAGCCTAAATTAAAAGAACTTGAGGCCATCCTGTTCTACATAGCAAATTCCAGGACAGCCAGGACTACATAGAGAGACACTCATCCCCTCCCCTCCCCCACCCCAAAAAAAAAACATTGTAAAGCCAGACATAGTGAGGCATACCTTTATAATCCCAGATTTCTGGAGGCAGAGACAGGTGGATCTCTGAGTTTGAGGCCAACCTGGTCTACAGAGTGAGTTCCAGAATAGCCAGGGCTGCACAGAGAAACCCTGTCTCAAAAAAAAAATTAATTAAATATTTATTAATTAATTAATTAATTAAGTTTAAGAAAATAAAATCTTAAAAAGGAAAAATTTTTCTTTCTTAAGAACAAAGAGAGGGGGTCTAGAGAAATGACTCAGTGGTTAAAAACACAGGCTGCTCTTCTAGAGGACTCAGCTTCAATATCCAGCACCACAGCCATCTGTAACTCCAGTTCCAGAGGATTCCACAGCCTCTTCTGGCCTTTGTAAGTACCAGGCATATATGTGAGGCACAGGCTCATGCAGGCGAAATGCCTATATACATAAAATTGTTTGTTTTTGAAGAGAACAGAGACTTGAGCTCAGTGAGAGCCTCATATGCATGATGCCCGGGTTTCAACCCCCTGTACTCCCAGAGAGAGAAGGTGAGCATATGATGCCCGGGTTTCAAACCCCTGTACTCCCAGAGAGAGAAGGTGAGCTGGGTGTGTAGTTTGGTGATGGAATGCTTACTTAGCACTTACAAGGCCCTGGGTTTGAACTCCAGCATGGAGTGGGGAGGGAGAGAACAGCATCTGGGAGAAAGCAGGATTGCTCAACATTAAGATGCTTGCTGCCCAGCCTGGTGACCTGAGTTTGATCCCCAGAACCTACTCCCACAAGTTCTCTGACTGTACACAGTCACACATGTACATGCACACAAGCAAATAACTTTTAAAGAAAACTAATCTGGATGTAGTCGTGCACATCTCTAATCTCAGCACATAGAGGGAGTTGGAGGCAGGAGGATCATTAATCTCTTGCTTTGTCTGGGCTACATAATAAGACCCCATCTCAAAAACCTAAAAGATATGGCTAGAAATGACTCAGCAGGTAAAGACACTTGCCACCAAGGTCTGACCACCTGAGTTTGACACTCAAAACCACAATAAACAGAACAGCTTGAACAAGTCGTTTTGACCACCACATTGTATGGCATGCATGTGCCCACATTCAAATCAGAAACAAGATGAACTTATTTTTTTTAAAATAATAGGATAAAGATGCCATAATATCCTCCCCCGCCCCCACCCCACCCCCACTGGTAATTTACCAAGCAGGCATTAACACGTTGTGCTTGTGAACAAAAGGGAAGATTGTTTCATCTTCTCCCTGGCAGATCGCTATCTGCAAAGCCAAAAGCTCCGTAATAACACAGCAGAGCTCAGTCCGGAATGTGGCGTTCATGCTGCCCCCCATCTTCAGCTAACACAGTGCCAGCCAATGCCCTCTTCATCCTGAAAGTCTCTCCTGCCACCTCATCAGGTGTATGTGGGTTTCAGTTTTCAGGATTTGGTGACATTCTCTGATGTGGCTCCAGGCTTCTCTCAGGAGGAGTGGGCCTGTCTGGACTCTGTGTAGAGGGAGCTGTGCTGGGACGTAATGCTGGAAAACTACAGTAGCCTGGTCTCCCTAGGTAAGCTGTGTACTTGGGTCACCTGGACTCTGTTCCCTGGAGCATCCACATTCACCTATGATTTTCAGGACCACTTTTCAAGAGACTGGCTGAATTTCTTCTTCCTGTTGCAAAAGAAGGCTTTGAGCTTTGTCAGTGTGAGAGTGAACTCCCCATGCCTCCTTCTTCCAATCCAACTTCCATTGTCCCCTTTGGTTAGCCCTCCTTGTGATTTTCTCTCTTCCCTCATGATTGAGGGGTGGTGAATTGGAATTCTGGATCTCTATAACCATCTTCAAAGAAGGCCGCCCTGTCTTTAGATGTTGTGTTTTTTGGTACACTTTTGTACTTTGAGGACCCATCTTTAGGGGAAACATCTCCATCTAGAGCTCTTAAGTCCTCCGCTGTGTTTAATAGAAAGTAAATTAGGCATGGAGTTTGTATAACATTGAACTGAGTAGATTCCCTTGTCAGCATACTGTACCTGAAGTGAGATCGGAAGTGACCTGAGTGAGTCCGAGAACCTTGTGTTTAACATTGGATGCACATGCCTGCAGTCCCATTATGAATTTGATTGTGAATTTGATGCTAACACCATAGGGACCATGTCATAAAATAAAATACTTCGAAGAAAGGCAAATGTTAGGCCTACTATGTGTCATGCACTCTTAAAAGCCCAGTGTGTCCATGTTGTGCATTTCATTCTCACAAGCTTGTAAGTGAGTCATGATTATATCATTGCAGGAGATAATTATACTCAAGTACAAATGACTAGTCACAGAGACGACAGAAAATGAACTTGCCAGGCATGATAGCACATTCCTGCAGTGTTAGCACATAAGAGTTTGAGACCAGCATGGGCCACATAAGAACCTGTCTCAGAAAGAAACAGGGCTAAGGATACAGCTCAATTGACTGGCCTCTTGCCTGGCAAGCATGAGAACCCTAGTCATCCCCTGCACTGCAAAAAAAAAAAAAAAAAAAAAAAAGATATCAAGACAAACACCCATCCCACCAACCAGCCCTCAAGAGGTAGAGGCAGGAGGCCATTCATGCTCAGCTACCTAACAACTTCAAGGTCAGCCTCTGCTACAGACTACATGAAACCCTATATCAAAATTAAAAAAAAATCAGGAATTAAAAAGTTCTAATTCTGCCTTCCTAACTGGATTCAGGAGCCCACACATATAATCCCAGCATTGGGAAACTGAGGCAGGAAGATTACTAGCAGTTCTTGGACTGCAGAATATATATACAATTCAGCCAGGCCCTGGTGGTGCTCACCTTTATGACAGCCTTCAGGAGGCAGAGGGAGGCAGATCTTTGTGAGTTCAAAGACAGTCTAGCTAATTTATAAGAGCTAGTTCCGGGACAGCTAGGGCTGTTACACAGAGAAACCCTGTCAAAAAAAAAAAGGAAAGAAAGAAAGAAAGAAAGAAAGAAAGAAAGAAAGAAAGAAAGAAAGAAAGAAAGAAAGAAA